TTGTGTGCATGGGCGAGTGTATAATATGACCTTTGTAACACCATTGCCACTGTACAAGAATACAGCCATGTTAGATTTGCCTGTCTTGATTTTCTTCCTTTTTTAGTTTACAAATCTGTATTCCTCAAAAGGAAGAAACCTTCCTGCCACATGTTGTACCTTTACACCACTGTGACAGGTCAAGACGTTTTTTAAGTTTTAGTAGAAGTTTTACAACGCTCGCAACTGCATAAGGTCATATGAGCGCCAGAAGATTAGAAGTATTACAAGAGAGTAACAAACATAAAAAAGAAGAAGGGGAGATATAGTGTAAAGCGCATAGAGCCTGCTGTTGAGCGGGGATATGCGCTATACAAATGCTATTTATTATTATTAGATAAGGACGATAGATGTTTGATAGGAAAGAAGAAGTAAACCACACCAGAGCCCCTGCCAACTACCCACTCAAGATGTTGAGTTTCCCACTCACCCAAATCAATGTTCATACACAACACCACAGGACAAGAAATGAAAAATTAACAAAAAGAAAAGAGGCACAGAAGGGAAAGGATTTTTCACATGCAGAACCCATGAATCAACAACCCCAGTCCTTAAAAAAAAAGTTTAAAACTGACATACAACCAGATTTTAGGAGAACTTTACAAAAATTCAAAAGGACGACAAGTTGATTTTTTTTAATAAAAGAAAATTATTTATTACACGCATCCAAATGTACAAACGCTCCAAAGACCAATAAACTGGAGACCAAAACACCCAAAGTTTTAATAGTGTAAGTGTAAAAATATCAACTTTTGTGAAACTGTGAACTTCTGAAAATTAATTACACAAAGCAGAGAAAGGAATCAGAACTGAAACATGTGGAGAGGGACTTGGTAGCCACAAGACTCGAGATTTTGGAAAAGAGCAACATTAATTAACTTCATTATCGTGCTTGCAATCAAGCTCAGTGGAAACACTGGTTAAGGAAAGAGAACAAAATTTTCGAATAGCTGTTGTGTATCTGGCAGAGGGTGTGGGAAAAACCGATTCAATGTGGGAAAAAATAATAAGCTCAGGAATCTTGTTGAAAGTTCTGCAGAGAAAAAAAAACGTTGGAGAAAGTGTAAAAAAATATTTTTTTAAATCAAAGACACCAATCACCGAAAACTTGTACCCAAAATAAAATACACTGTCGACACTTACTGTATTTTGAAAGACTAATAGTGGTAAAAAGTAGTAGCAGCACCTGGCTTTGCAAACATAAAAATACACATATACATATATATATATACATTGTATTCATACGTCTTGGAGCACATTCCGTCTTATTAAACAGAATAAACAAACATACAGAAAGCTGTTATCAGAGTTTCCGCGTATCTGGGAATGTCTTTTTGTGCATTGAACGAGAAACTACTTTCTTAGAGAAAAACTTCAAGCCTAGAGAAATGAGTTTTAAGTAGAGGCACACAACAAGCAAGCACACAAATAGTCTCTGTAAATAATTCAAAAGGGACGAAAGCTCTACAGAGATAGAGGACAACAAACAGACTCCCTAAAAAATAAATTTACTGAGCAATCTACTATGAGTCAAACTTACACAAGATTGACACATGTCTTCTCTTGGCAAGCTGACTTCTTTATTCCTATATGAGCTCAACTGTACTGTAATTACTTTGCATAACATCAAAACACATTTGGACAAAACTGCACGTCTCCCTTGGCAGCTGTTCTGCACAGTGGCGCTCAGACCTTTGGCTCGCCAGCGACAATCTGAGACTCAATGCCACACTCATCCCGGCCTCGGGCAATCTTGAAAAATCCTGGTGGAAAAAAATAGTCACAAATGAAACATTGCTGCAATCTGGGCATTACCACTGTCACAACACAAGGTAAGACATGGTTTACGACTGTCACAAAGCAAGGTAAGTCAGAAAGTTGAGAAAGTTTACGACTGTTACAACAAAAGGTAAGACAAAGTCTTTAGTTTTCGAAAGAGTTTTATGGCACTTGCAACACAAGGTCATATAAGTGCCCAAGACTAGATGTGTTACAAGAGAGTAACAAACACGAAAAAGAAGGAGTGGAGATAAAGACGATAAATTTTTTACAGGAAAGAAGGAGCAAACCACACCAGAGCACCCGCCAACCACCCACTGTCAAAACACAAGGTAAGTGAGAAAGTTTACGACAGTCACAACACAAGGTAAGACAAAGTTTTTAGTTTTCATAAGAGTTTTACGGCACTTGCAACACAATAAGGTCATATTTTAAGTACCGAAGATTAGAGGTGTTACAAGAGAGTAACAAACAAAATAGAAGGAGGGGAGATAAGGACTATACATATTTGATAGGAAAGAAGAAGCAAACCACACCAGAGCACCCGCCAACCACCCACTGGTTTAGGACTGTTACACACAAGGTAAGACAGAAAGTTTACGACGTTTACAACACAAGGTAGGACAAAGTTTACGACTGTCACAATGCAAGGTAAGTCAGAAAGTTGAGAAAGTTTACGACTGTCATAACAAAAGGTAAGACAGACAATTTACGACGGTCACAACACAAGGTAATGCAGAAAGTTTACGACTACGACGGTTACGTAAGGTAAAACAGACAGTTTTTGACTGTCACAACACAAGTTAAGACAGAAAGTTTACTACAGTCACATCACAAGGTAAGACAAAGTTTACGACTGTCACATCACAAGGTAAGACAAAGTTTACGACTGTCACATCACAAGGTAAGACAAAGTTTACGACTGTCACATCACAAAGTAAGACAAAGTTTACTACAGTCACATCACAAGATAAGACAAAGTTTACTACAGTCACATCACAAGGTAAGACAAAGTTTACTACAGTCACATCACAAGGTAAGACAAAGTTTACGACTGTCACATCACAAGGTAAGACAAAGTTTACGACTGTCACAGCACAAGGTAAGGCAGAAAAGTTGAGAAGGTTTAGGACGGTCACATCAAAAGGTAAGAAAGAAAGTTTGCGACTGTCACTGCGAATGCTCTGACCTTGATCGCCCCAGTCGGGGTTCCAGGAGTTGGCCACCAGCCAGTACTTGTCTCCGCTGTCCACACCGTAGCCGATGATCTTCACAGCATGTCCACCCAGGGCTGATCCGGTGGTGTGTTTGTACACGCCTGGAGCAACAACACGATCAGAAAGTTATAATAACATAAAATTTATTGAGATCCACAAAGAGAAATCTAATGCATATGATATTATATACATATACGCACTCATCAAAACACACTTTCTCTCTCTCTCTGTCCATCTCAGTTGACTTTAGGGTTAATGTTGATGAATGGAAGACAAAGTGATTGTGTGCTTACCTGTGTGATTAAGTCTTTGTGTGTGTGTGTGTGGTTTATGCGTATGCAATGTGACTTTCTCTGTATCGCGACCACAATGTTTTCTTGTCATATCTCCATTTTTTTAACAGTGTGACTTCTTCTAAAGCTGACTCTTTGTAACGAACTGTTGTCACTGTTATTAAAAAATGGAGATATGACAAGAAAGTAGTGAGGTCGTAGTATGTTTAAGTAAACGTTAGATAGATGCAATAATTTTTTTAGTTGGAATATCATTCGAATGATCAATTTCATTGTTGATGTAAAGCACCCAGACTTCCCAGGACGTTGAGGTTGTTTCAGAATGCTCTCAGGTCTGCTGAGGTAATAATATAGATTGTGAAACACATAGAGCTTGCTGTTGAGCAGGGATTTGCGCTACACAAATCTCGACCTCAGTGCTTTCTTTTCCTATCTCCATTTCCGATAACAGTGAAAGCACTTCATAACAAAGAGTGAGCTTTAAGAAAAAGTCACATTTTCAATGTTTAAAAAAAATGGAGATAGGACAACAAAGCAATGAGGCCACGAATTTCTACCTATTCTTATTACTATTATTATTAGTCGCTACAGAAATCTACTTAAAAATTATGATCATTATTATTTTTTTTACCAGTTTTGTACTGCAAGAAGTCCGAGTAGACGGTGAAGGCGGCTTCCACGGGACCGTTCTGCACCAGATCCTGCATGATGTTGTCCTCACCACGGACGTGGTAGCTGCGGGCACCTGGGGGAACAGACAGTTTCTCTTTACAACTGAAATCATTTCTATAATCTTTTAGTTTTTTTAAGTATTAGGAACAGTTCTATGGTACTTGCAACACAATAACTTAATATAGGTGCCGAAGATTAGAGGTGATACAAGAGAGTAACAAACACAACAAAGGAAGAGAGAGAAGGACAATAGCTTTTGATAGGAAAGAAGAAGTCCATAATCTTTGGACCTGGTCGCCAGCTCAAGTACTGGAGATGTGAGCTACCCAGTCATCAAATGCCTGCTGAATAAAAGCTGTGACAAGAGATAGAGACAGAGGGGGGGGGGGGGGGGGGGGGGGGGGGGGGCCCCAAAAAAAAAAAAAACAAAAGAAGGGGGGGGGGGGGTTTTAAAAAAAAATTTTTTTTAAAAAAAAAAAAAAAGGGGGGGGGTATTGTGGGAAACATTTTTTTTTCCAACAGACAACAGCCGGCCTCCCAAGATCTCCCAAACACACACAGAGGAACAGATCACAAACAGGCCATGCAGGTCTTCTTTTTTCTTCTCGATCGCATCACATTTGAAGTCTGGTATCTGTCATAAATTGGGCCGTCCTGCTCAGTTCATCTGGCGGCCCGTATAGCTTCTCTTGTAGCGTCAGTGGGGTTGGCCACGTTTCCTGTCTCAGGGCCCTGTGTGTCTTTCAGTGCTGAAGGATGTGTTCAACAGTTTGGTCCGCCTCTCCACACTGGCATTTTGGTGATTGTACTAGTTTAAAACATTTGTACATATGTTGTCTCAGTCTTGTGTGTTGTGTCCTTAGTCTGAAGATAATCACTTGTTCTTGGCAAGACAGCTCATGGTAGTTATCTGGTGTCTGAGGTGCTTTAAATAGTGTATTTATAATAGTGTTTATTTCTGTGTAGTTAACAGGCCATGCAGGTGAATGCTGAAGAATCAAAGAGCAGGAATGTATCACTGCAAAAACGACTAAGGATGCGCCATTAAAAACCCCCCAGAACCCCAGTACCAAGACGCAGTTCCTGGCCTGTCGGCAAACATCAATGGCGGCATTCCTCCAGATAAGATTCCAGTCACAGTGACACTGAACAGAAGAGCAAAGAACAGACTTCACCAGAACCCCAACAAACACCCTGCTCACTCTGAACATAACAACATTTTTTTAAAAAGGGCAACAACAAATTAAAAGTAGTGAAAAAAACTGGGGACAGATGAGGTGGTGAGCTCCATTTCATTCTTGTCACTTGTTCACTTCACACAGTAATTACTCACCAAAATGTTTGTCTTAGAAGTGTACTGGAACTTCACTGACATTACTCACCCAAATGTTTGACTTTGAAGTGTGTCCTGTAGTTTCACACAATTACTCACCTAAATATTTGTTGTTTTGGTAGCTGCCTTCACAGTAATCATACACTAAAATGTTTGTCTTCGAAGGATGCAATTTTGTTTCGCGCATTGATTACTCATCAAAATGTTTGACTTAGTAGTATGTACTGTTGCATCACAAAGTTACTACTCACCAAAATACTTGTCCTGTTTGAAGGGTGTACTGTAGCTTCACACAGTAATCACTCACCAAAATGTTTGACTTTGACTTTGAAGTGTGCCCTGTAGTTTCACACATTAACTGCTCACCAAAATACTAGTCCTGTTTGAAGGGTGCACAGTAGCTTCACACAGTAATCACTCACCAAAATGCTTGTCCTGTTTGAAGGGTGTGCTGTAGCTGCTCTCACAGGTGTCCTTGCACCTGGGCGTCTTCATCTCTTTCTTGCTGCAAGGCTGGAGCTTTCCCTGCACGTGGTGGTCACAGGCTGGGATCATGTACGGCTGGCAACCCTGCAACATGAACCGATTCCTTCAGGTCAGTGGAATATATGAAACCACATACAGAGGTAACTATAAATACACCGATCACTGTGAACAACATTAAATAGGCACAGAGGTTGCCATAATATATATACCAATCAGTATGAGCCTGCGACGTTCAAGTCCTGAAAATATTCAAAGAGTAAGGCTAATCACTCTATTATACACAGAACTAGAGTGATGATGTTGCTATTCCAGAAGCTTTCTGACTTCTATTCAGTGCCATGTAATACAGAAGAGGAAAGTCATAAACTACACATTTAAGATGACTAAAGCTAAAAGATTATCAGGCCGAAACCCTCTTTGAAATACAACTGCAATAATCAGGATGAGAAGATTCTCACACAGACAAAAAAGAAATTAGCTGCTCACGAGACAAGTCTCTTCAACTGAGAGTCACACCTACCTGAGAGCTGTTGTAAGGTCCACCACTGACAATGCCATCTCTCTGGTAGTACATCCAGGCCTCAGCAGGGAAGCCACCATCACAGCTGCATCGTTCACACAGTTACCACAGGAGTGGAAAGAAGAGACAAAAAAAAAGAAAATAAGTTTTTTTCCTTTAGTTTGGAAAGAGTAAGTCTTATCCCACTTTCTATGCAAATAGGTCACTGTACTCACATAGGTGCAGAGGTGTTACTACTGACTATCATACAAAGAAAAGAAGGATGAGAGATAAAGATGATAGATGGTTGATGGGAAAGAAGAAGCAAACTAAACTAGAGTAGTTGCCAACTACAAAAAAAACCACCAAAAAAACCCCAAAAACGTTTACTCATGATGTGAGGGAGAAATTGAGTCAAGCTTAAGTCAACAATGAGTAAATATATATGACCGAGACAACAATTGTATGTGTTTTTGAGTAAAGAGAAGTACATCGACACAATAACAGTCATTCAGTCTGCAAAAAAGTGAAACAGACACACAAATACAATAATGGTGGATAAGGAAAGAAGTAGGATCTACCAGAACAACCCTCCAACCACCCACACAGCCACATTTTTGCTTGAAGTAGATTATAAACTCATTCAGCAGTCAGTGCAACGGTGGAAAACGCCCCTAGGTTTACTACAGGATAAACAATAACACTGGATTGTTAGGTTTGCTTGTACCTGGGCCAACTCGAGAAAAATAATAAAAAAACAAAACAATGAAACCAATCTTTATGCAGTTATTCTTACTTGATTGCTGAGTAATTGCCTAACTATGCTAATCCAACTCAGTAATAACACTGATCAGGTCGACATGAATTTGATTACAGCCAATAAATTGGAAATCAAAAGGTGCCTGCCCCCTTCACTGGGGAGTGCGTAAATCTAATTTGCTCTCTGTCAAGTTCACAGTCATTTTGTATGCCATTATCAACCATACAAGTATTATAACAACCTTGTACATCAAAATCGAAAATGATACTGATCTTTTCATCACCTACAGAATATCTCTAAGGAGTCACTAATTTCAAAACATAACCTACAATTTCCTAAACCAATTGAAGAAATGCTTTTCAAGAAGAACAGCGTATCCAAAACGCCAAGCTCTATGGTTGTTGGGCAAAACATGTCTTGTCCCAAGTGATTTATTAATTGATTTCGTCAATTTTACCGCTTCAATTCTCTACGACTTGATCAGTGCTTGACCAGATGCGAGCCACGTGGCAACTCACTCACCCATTTCCACAACTGCGGCAGCAGGTCATCAAGTCCTCAGCGGCAAAGTGGAACTGGGACTTGGCGTTAGATTTGATGCACAGACGGTCTGTCATGGCCTCCACAGCACCAAAAGCCTGCAACAGAAACAAGACAAAACTGTGTGCCTTCCCATTTTTATATTTCCTCTATCACTTACTGAGAAAAGTATATTTACAACACTGACAGCCCACAATAGAACAATAATCAAGATAGAGGAAATTAGAAGTAAAATAAAATACTGATCCAATACAGAAATACCTCAAAAGGAAAAAAAACAGAGAAAAAAGGTATATCCTAAGGAAAAACTGGGCATTGACTTCATCAGGACCCCGGGAAAAAAATGGTGAAGAAATTTTACTTTCAGCAAGGAAGAAGCGCATCTTCCTACATTGAACAAACATAAAATCAATGCAGTTCGCCATCCACGCAGGGAGCAAAATTTGAAAACTCAGGTCTTAAGCCTTTTTGACCTAAGCACAACCTTAAAAACCAGCTCTCACATTTTCCTTAGCATTAATAATTCATGACAACTTAAAGATAGATTGTAAAATTCAAGACGCTAAAATGCGTATAATTAGACTAAAAAAAGTGTGTTTGCTTTTTCACAAAGGATAAAACGCTGATTAGACACGCAAGAGAAGTTTTTTAAAAACTTTTTTTAAATGTCTGAATGCTCCATAGCGAAATGCACTGACGATAACTTTCTACTATAAACAGATGTACCTTTCAACAATGAAAAATGAACCTACACAATTTTATGCAATGAAGAAAAACAACTTTCTGTGTTTTTCTGTTAAGAAGAAATAATTTTCTCTTCTGAACAAAGTACTGAAAAGAACAAGGAAGGCAAAGAAGTAAGAAAAAAACATACAAAAAAATCTCAACGTGACTGTTACTAGAAGAATGGGTAAAATTTTCAGCAGAGAGAGAAAAACATACATTATAATAGATGCCAAGTCTCACAGCCATGAACAAATGCATTTGCATCGTTCGATAAACTTCATAAATGTTTTTATCTTCATAAATAAATAGATGAGTAAGGTCACAAAGAGATGAAACCAGCAAAATGTTGCTAGTCTCCGATATCGACATGTCTGGTTACAGTTCTGCAAGGTATGAGACTCTGTGAGATATGGAGATATGGATCTACAAGATAAGATTCTACACCATTCTACTGACAATGACCAGGCATGCCACTAGACTTTTGTAAAAATAACCGAAATTTTTTTTGGAGACTAGATTTGGTATGTGGCGAAGCAATAAATGCAACTAAACTTCATATCTGTTAAACAATAAAGCAAAGTTCATAACGACCAAAATAATGGAAAAATAGAATCCCTGCAATGACGCACCCAGCATGAGCCGCAGTCTCCCTGGTCGCGGACTTCCTTCAGACTGGTGCAGTTTGGCCACTGCACACGAGGGTCAAAGTTGTCGGGCAAGTCCCTCATCTGTGTGAGAAATTCCTTCCTGGGCAGCTGGCGTGCCAGGTACTCGGCTTTCTCCAGGTTAGGCACTCCCAAGATTCTCTTAACGTGAGCGTGGTCCTCTGGGTGGAAGTTTCTTCCCGCCTGTACCGGACAGAAATTGTAGTTTGTAGAGTATTCCGTTATCCAGCTGTGCAGGTGTACTGAGCCAAAAATGTGCTAAAATTACATTTATTAAGCAAAAAGGGCACAGTCTTTAAGTTAAAAAATTTCAGTGGTCCTTTTTCTGAACATATAATGACAATGTGTTCTGATTGGAGACCCCAGTGAAAGAATTGACACTGAGTACTGAGCAGTACCCTGTTCTTTATAGCATGCTATGGGGACTTTATTATTCGTAATTGTATGTGGGATATGGACCTCACGTTTTCAAAAGAGTTTCAAAACTTCAGTGTTTGCACAAAACAGAGTGAATATTGGAACTAGGAAACAGCGACAAACCTTCCAGCTGGTGCGGGCAATATTGTTGATGTAATGAATCTCCTCATCTGACAGCACTCCAAAGTCAGGCTTCATCAACTGCCCAACGGCAGCGCCCACGCAGAGGCACACAAGTGCTAGCTTCAACATGACTGCAAGAGACACAATTCAATATCATTAGATTCCTTCCACAATGGCATAAGTCAGTTTCATGGGGTTAACAAATGAAACCATTTATCTGAATAAAGACACCAAGGGGCATTATCTTACAATACTTCTTCTGTTTCACTATTTCCTTTCTAGATTTTGACTGATAGTTAATGAGTTCCCAAATTATGGTTACGGATTTCATTTAGGGACTCTTGTTTTTTGTTACTTTTCTCAAAACTTCAAATTACACTTATATGTGCTTCTGGAATGACACTGACAATATATTGTCGGATAATAACAATATAAAAAATTATGAAATTTTAAAGCCAAAAATAATAATAAGATAAACTATAACTATAATAATTTAGAAAATAGAAGAAAACAGTATAGAAAATAAAACAACAAAAGCAACAGAAATGTGGTTCTAAGGAAACTACTTAGAATTTCTTGTCAGGTAAAGAAATCAAATAAGGTAGTATTTGGAGAAGCCCACGTAGGCCACTCTGATAAAAACATGATACAATTTCTGGGACACTTGAATAGACATAAAAGCCATAATGGCATTAAACATCTTGCTTTCACTGGCAAAATTAAGGGCAAATGAGAAAGAGGCAAACCCAGAGCAACCTACTTTTTGGAGAGTTTAAACATATGTGTGGCAGGGAAAGATTAGGATTACATTATAGTTCGATAACGTATCTTTTTTTAGAGCACCCAAACAAAGGAATCAATGAAGAACCATGATCATTCATGTCTGTAGCAGTTCTGGCACTCAATGATGATAATGGTATAGCAAAGACCTTCTACAACATTATCAGTGACAGTGAATGATAAACAAGACTCTGCATGCAGTGTCTCTGACAACAATAATAAGTCCAAGTCCAATCAGGTCAGTTTCAATGATGACTGAAGATGGCTTAATTAAATTGGTTTTACATAGCAACACACAAATAGCTTGCTCACTTTCGTCTGACAGCGTTAAAAAAATTCTAACCAACTCATTCATTAATTTACCTGCTATGACCAAGAAATTTTGTTTGAGGCCAGCGACCAAACAATTTTTAAAAAATCATCTTGATCCAGTAGTCTAGTAAAAAAGTTCTTCTCTTTGGGCCCTATATTATAGCTGCTCTTTGGATGCATAGACACCTACACAGGATCACTAAAAATAAATGACTTACTATACAGTAACTTTGCAAATTGCTCATTTTTAAGACAGCAACACCACCCTGCCACTCCCCCCACTCCTTTCAGTGTAAGCTTGTCAATTTCATCCCACGGCTGTCAGGCCTACGCCTCCCCATGCTCCACGTGAGTCTCGAAAATTACTCACCCCGTCTCTTGAATCGCGTTTTTTAGGCGTACGTTAGAGTGCGGTGTTGAGGAAAAATATGTCAACTTTTTGGTGTTTCAGTGTGGGCCACTTGTATTATCTCCTCTGATGAAATAGCTCATGACCCGTTATTCTCACCCCCATCCAGATGCGGGCATGAGGCGAGGACTCAACCCTGATTTCTCGCAGGCCAATAAAATCAATGGCCCTAGGTGGCTGACCGCATGGGGTTGGGTAATGACTCATGAGAGCTTAGCGCTTGTTTCCTCATGTAGACCAACTACTGATTAACGTTGCCATAGCCTAAATTTGGTTTTTGGTCTTTTATCAAATAGCCATCTTAAAATTCTAAAGGCTATAATTACGAGTGCCAGTAGGTATCTGAAAAAATCAAAACGTTCTGCTCATTACATTTCGTTCTTGCATAACTTATTAGTGGCATAACCATAGTGTAACTGGGTTTGCTTTTTTTTTTATTTTGTTGGTCTTTTTTCAATATTGTCTGCTGTTCATGGTGTGAAATGGCCTTCACCCAGCCCATTAAACAAACTAAACCTGATATTTATCTAGGCCTGCACAACTTATTCTCTGTGCTGTTGTGTGTGTGTATCGTTATATCAAAGAAAACATGTCGGAATCTTAGTTTACAGTGACTTTTATGAATGATTTTAGATTGTGTTGGTCATCCAATTTTTAGACCTGTATGTAATGGAGTGTCTACGTACACGGTAACCGGGCACATAGCCTCAGCGTCTACATGGTAACCGGCAACATAGTCTCAGTGTCACGTACACAGTAACCAGGCGTGTAGCCTCAATATCTATGGACACGGTAACCAGCAACAGGGCACATAGTCTCAGTGTCACGTACACGGTAACCGGGCATGTAGCCTCAATATCTACGTACATGGTAACCGGCAACCGGGCGCGTAGTCTCAGTGCAACGTACACGGTAACCGGGCAGTTCAGTTTTTGTCATCTGGTGTTGCCTTCATCCCCATCCGTCCCCTGACTGTACCTTTAAAAAAAATCAATAATCCCCCCATTCCGCAGCCATATACTTTGCAGCGTACAGACTGACTGAACTTTGGTGACCCCAACCGGTATTCACAATGTGATGCACACGCAAAGGTTCACTGACTGGTCACGATGGCGAGCCCGACAAGACGCTTGTATGACTTTCTTTTTCCGAAGTGGCTAGCCGTATCCTGAGAGTCTAGCCGTACTTAGATCTAGGTTTGGCCAAATCAGTTTAAACCTGTTGAGTACACAGGTCTCATTAGATCTAGATCTAGTAATTAGGTAAAAAATACAGGCAAGTCAGTAAGGCACCTTTTGGTTTTGTCTGAAATACAAATACTTTAGGCATTGCACACTAAAAATTTCATTTACAATTCAGCCATCAACAATAAGTACGGCTAGCCTGAGTGTCTATTAAGTACGGCTAGCCTCTTCCAAAATTTATTTACAATTCAGTAGGCCTTTTGGGG